AGGTTGCAGTAACATTGGGTTTTCGTTGCATTGTTATGTAACAGTGCTCCTTCCTGACCCATAAGCACTTCCTGCATTCACCTCTGCCCATAACAGTTACATACCTGCTTAACCGCCAACAATTTATCTTATTCTTTCCTTTATAACATTCCTTACCTTGCTGCTTTCCACACTTCTCTCTTATCCTTCTCCTTTAAATGTTGCTTCCTCTGCTTCCCTGTGTGTCTTCTCTCTCATATGTTGTGCCTTAACCTTGTATATTGTTATGCATTCTGCTAGCCCCCTGCTTAACCAGCATATGTTATATAACCTTTATAACCATTATTCTCTTCAACAATTGTATATACTGTATATTGGTATGTATATACACATAAACATATTAATGTATCGCGCAAACCGTACATAATCGGTTGCCTGCTGTTCAACGGCATAACAGCAGCATATGATTGTGCATAACCAGCAGCGCCATGTTATGCATTCTGCAGCACCAACAGTTGTGCCTTATGCCCATAATCTTCCATGCCTGCTCGCGCGCCTTTCGTTATTCTCTGCTTACATAACAGCATAACCATTATCTTATTCTGCTTGCTTCTCATATTCAAACATTCTATTGCCCTCTGTTATACATTCTACTGCCCATAACATTATGCCTTCTGCTTTCTTTATCTCTTATTCTGCCCTCTTGGTATGCCCTTCTCTCCAGCCCTGCTGCTTGCGCCTGTTGTGCGGCTTCTGCCGCCTTTGCTCTGTTCAAACCGTCTACTGTTGCTCTTGTTGTGCATTCTGCCAGCATAACCATGCTGTTCTTAACAGCACTATGATTAGGCCTACCAATTGTCATAACAGTACATCATTCTTCTGCCCCTCTTATTTTGACCCCTCTTTCAGTTATGCCTTCTGCCCTGCTGCTGACCCACTGCTTTCGTATGCCTTCTGCCCTCCTCTTTGACCCTGCTGTTATGCATTCTTCTGTCACATAACAATTTATACATCTCTGCCCTGCTTAACACAGCCCATAACATACCTGCTGTTGCCCTTTGTTATACCCCTTCTCTGCCCCTGCCTGACCCACAACAGTATACCTTCTGCCTTCCCCTCTTCCTGACCCTCTTTCAACCCCATACCTGCTGTTGCCCTCTTTCCATACCTCTCTACCCCTGCTGCTTTGACCCTACATTATGCCTTCTTCTGCCCCTGCTGCTGTCCTGTTACCCTTCCGCTCAGTCTTGCCTCCTTCATTCGCCCCGCATCATCGTCTGTTTTTTCTTCATTGCGTTAGCCTCAGACATCCCCCATTCTCCTGTTGTTTTAACCTGTGACCGCACGATCGTCGCCGCAATCTCCGGCCCTCGCCCGTCACCGCGCGTGGCGCGCGCCGACCGCGGGCCGCAGGCAACCCCCACCAGGCCGCGCACGGGCCCCACGCAGGCTCTGCGCGCAGGCCTGAACGTCACCGGAACCCCACGCGCGCAGGTTGCGCACGCCAGGACATCTGGGGCGGCCTCACGCAGGCCTCACGCGCCAGGCGGCCTCACCGGTCCCAGGCCGCCTGGGCCAGGCCGCGCGCCGACCAGGCCGCTGGGTACCGCGCACGTCTGCAGACACCAGGCCACCGCATCTGCTTCCGGTTCCGCAGGTCACCAGGCCCACACACGCAGGTTGCACACCAGGCCCCTCCTCCTGGTACCAGGCCTTGCCCTACACACATGCCTCACCAGGTGGGCCCCCACACACCAGTACCCTGGGCCTCCTGTACCAGGCCCCACGCAGGCCCTCACCAGGCCACCAGGCCCCCACGCGCCAGGCATTAAACACGCACGCGGGCCGCGCCAGCCGCGCATCGGGGCCACGCGCGCGCTCGATCGCGCCGCGCGACCGCGCCAGTTGCGCATCAGGCCAGGCCGACCACACGCGACCGCATCCACGCAGGCCGCGCAGGCCGCACATGCGCACCAGGCCCACCGCACCAGGCCGCAGGCCCGCACGACCCCCCGCGCTGGTTGCGCACGCATAGACCCCCACGCACCAGGTCCGCCGCACGCCGTTGCCAGGTTGCACCGGGTACACGCACCAGTTGCGCAGGCCTGTTGCGACCCCCACCAGGCCGCCCCACACGCACCAGGCCCCTGCCCACCTTGCCGGGCCTCCGCGCGCTCCCGCACTGGGCCTCTGGTGTGCCGCGCGTCGGTTCACATCTGGCCGCCTGGTACACGCCAGGCATCACGCCAGCGGCCCGCATCGGGCCCCACGCAGGCCCACGCGGCAGGCCACGCAGGCCCCCACGCAGGAAACCACGCACGCACCTCGACCGCGCCGACCACACACACCAGGCCGCAGGCCACGCAGGCCGCACGCAGGCCCGCAGGCCACACGCAGGCCCCACGCAGGCCCCGTGCTGCAGGCCCCCCACGCACGCACGCGTCAGGCGCTCGCTGCTCTTGATCTTCGCGCCGCCGCCTAAGACCACCGCCGCGCATCAGACCCACCGTCGCCCGCGTCAGGCCCCCGCACCAGGCCCTCACCGACCACGCGCCGCGCCAGGCCTCTTTGGTCCCGTTGCTGCCTCACGCCGGTCTGCCAGGCCGCGCAGTCCTCACGCACCAGCCGCAGGGCGCTCCCCAGCCACGCCGGGCCGCACGCGCCGACCGCGCGCCGCCGCGCCGCGCCAGATCTTTTCCGCGCACCGGGTTATCGCCGCGCGCCAGTCCCGCCTTTGCGCAGGCCCAGGCCCTCTGCCGCGCCGCACCGGTTTACCGACCCTTGCCGGGCCACGCACGCAGGCCCCAGGCCCCTGCACCAGGCCATGCCAGGCCACACGCAGGCCGCACGCAGGCCCACCAGGCCGCACCGAGCCCGCTCACCAGGCCGCACGCACGTCAGATATTGCCCACTGAACCAGGTTACACGCATCAGGTTGCTCTCGCAGGTGCATCACGCCGCCTGATTTACGCGCGCAGGCCCATCCTCCACCAGGCCCCCACACACCAGACATACCCCTACACATCAGAGCACACTCACGCCATGTTGCTGCCGCCGCAGCAGTCCCACGTCAGGTTACCGACCCTGCACACATGCCATGCTCTCTGTTGTTACATGTTTACAGTAGTCACCCCACTCCAGTGATGATGGCGACGACGCGTGTTTCTCACCGAGCTGCAGCCCCACTCACTCCCCGCATCCCACTCGTACATCGATCATGTTTTTCATGTGCCTAAAAACCATCTGTTTCATTTTGTTTATTTGTTTGTTATTGTCATTGTTGTTATTTGTTGTATCTCCCCGTGTGTTGTGTCATGTGTTCATAATGTCAGTACATGTGTGTTTCTTTCATTATATTTGTGTGTGTATATCTGTGTGTGTCTCCCGTCTGTGTGTGTTCTTGATACACACCCAGTTCATGGGCACACAATGCGGTTTTGTTCTCATGTTTCTGTTGTGCAAATGCACATGCAAAAATTCATGTTGTATTTATTCGTCGTGTGTGTGCATCCTCAATCTTTCATGCAAACACATACACACACACACACACCAATAAATGTCCTGTGTTATTTGTTTGCTGCCCCCCAAAGCAACCCCTCCCCACCCTGTTATTATCCCTTCACTTTGTTTGTATTCCCCTCCCCCACACCCTGTTTAACCTCCCTCCCCCACACTGTTTAACCTCCACTCCCCACACACCCTGTTTAACCTTCCCCCACCCCCCACACTGTTTAACCTCCACCTCACACCCTGTTTAACCTTCCCTCCTACACCTGATTAACCTTCCTCCTCACACTGTTGAACCTCCTCCCCACACCCTGTTTAACATTCTCTCCCCCCAACCCCTGTTTAACCCGTCCCTCCCCACCCCAGTTTAACCTCCCTCCCACCCTGTTTAACCTTCCCTCCCCCACACCCTGTTTAACCTTCCCCCCACACCCTGTTTAACCTCCCCTCCCCCACCCCTGTTTAATCCCCCAACCCACCCTGTTTGTCTCCTCCCCCACCCAGTTTAACCTCCCTCCCCCACCACCCTGTTTAACCTTCCCTCCCCAACTCTGTTTAACCTCTCCCCCACACCCTGTTTAACCTTCCCCCCACCCTGTTTAACCTCCCTCCCCACCCAGTTTAACCTCCCTCCCACCACTCCTGTTTAACCTTCCCTAAATTCCTGTTTGAACTCTCTCTCCCACACCCTGTTTAACCTTCCCACCCTCCCCCACCCTGTTTAACCTCCCTCCTCACACCCAGTTAACCTCCCTCCCCCACCCACCCTGTTTAACCTTCCCTCCCCACCGTTTAACCTCCTCTCCTCCCCACCCTGTTTAACCTTCCCTCCCCACACTGTTTAACCTCCACTCCCACACCCTGTTTAACCTTCCCTCCCCACACCCTGTTTAACCTTCCCCCTCTCCCCACCCTGTTTAACCTCCTCCCCCATCCCTGTTTAACCTCCCTCCCCCCACCCACACACTGTTTAACCTCCTCCCCACAATTGTTTAACTCCACTCCCACACCCTGTTTAACCTTTCCCTCCTCCACACCCTGTTTAACCTTCCCCACACCCTGTTTAACCTTCCCTCCCCCACACTATTTAACTCCTCCACTCCCACACCCTGTTTAACCTTCCCCACACCCTGTTTAATCCTCCCTCCCACCTGTTTAACCTTCCCTCCTCACACCCTGTTTAACCTCCTCACCCACACCCTGTTTAACTTCCCCCCCACACCCTATTTAACCTCCCTCCCCACACACTGTTTTACCTCCCCTCCCCACACCCTGTTTAACTTTCCTCCCCACACCGTTTAACCTTCCCTCCTCACACCCTCTGATTAACCTCTCCTCCCCACACCCCTGTTTAACCTTCCTCCCACACCCTCTTCTAACCTTCCCCTCCCCCACCCCTGTTTAACCTTCCCCACACCCTGTTTAACCTTCCCTCTCCACACCTCTGTTTCTACTTCCTCCTACACCCTGTTTAACTTTCCTCCTACACCCTAATTAACCTTCCCTCCCCCACACTTGTTTGACTCTCTCCCTCACCTCTGTTTAACCTCCCATCCTAATTCCTGTTTAGTCCCACCCACCCAGTTTAATCCACCCCCACCCACTGTTTAACCTTCCCCCCCCACCCTGTTTAACCTCCCCACACCCTGTTTAACCTTCCCCCTCCCCCCACACCCTGCTAACCTTCCCTCCCCCACACTGTTTAACCTCCCTCCCCACACCCTGTTAAACCCCTCCCCCACTCCCCCTGTTTAACCTTCCTCCTCCCCCACAACCTGTTTAACCTTCCCCCTCCCCACCCTGTTTAACCTCCTCCTCCCCCCCCACCCTGCTTTAACCTCCTCCCCACCAGTTTATCCTCCCTCCCACCCACCCTGTTTAACCTTCCCTCCCCCACCCAAGTTTAACCTCTACCCCACACACCCTGTTTAACCTCCTCCCCCCAATTTCTGCTTCTTCTCCTCCTCCCCAACCTGTTTAACCTTCCCCCTCCCCCACCCTGTTTTAACCTCCCTCCCCACCCTGTTTAACATCCTCCTCCACCCTTTTAATCCTCCCCACCCAGTTTAACCTCCCTCCCCACCCACCCTCAGTTTAACCTTCCTCCCCACCCAGTTTAACTACTCTCCACTTCACACCCTGTTTAACCTTCCCTCCCACACTCTCCTCCCCACACTGTTTAACCTCCCCTTCTCACACCCTGTTTGTCCTCCCTCCCCACCCTGTTTAACCTTCCCCTCCCCACAACCTGTTAACCTCTCTCTCCCCCACCCTGCTTAACCTCCCCCTCCCCCACCCCTGTTTAACATCCTCCTCCCAATCTGCTTAATCCCCCCACCCAGTTTAACCTCCCTCCCCACCCACCCTGTTTAACCTTCCCTCCCCCCACCCAGTTTAACCTCCACTCCCCATCCTATTAACCTCCCCTCCCCCACACCTGTTTAACCTTCCTCCCCCCACACTGTTTAACCTCCACCCCCACACCCTGTTTAAACTTCTCCCTCCCCACTCCCCTGTTTAACCTCCCTCCCCAAACCTGTTTAACTCTCCCCCACCTCTGTTTAACCTCCCCTCCCCACCCTTCCCACCACCCTGTTTAACCTCCTCCCCACCCAGTTTACCTCCCACCCTGTTTAACCTTCCCTCCCACACCTGCTTAACCTTCCCCCACACCCACTGTTTAACCTTCCTCCCACACTGTTTAATCCCACCCCTGCACACCCTGTTTAACCTCCCTCCCCACACTGTTTAATCCTTCCTCCCACACCTCCTGCCAACCTCTCCTCCCACTCCTGTTTAACCTCCCCCTCCCTGTTAACCTCCCTCCCCCACCCAGTTTTAATCCTCCTCCCCCACCCACCCTGTTTAACCTTCCCTCCCCACCCAGTTTAACTCCCACTCCACACCCTGTTTAACCTTCCTCCCCCCACACCTGTTAATCCTCCACCCCACACCCCTGTTTAACCTTCCTCCCCCCACACCGTTTAACCTTCCCCACACCCCTGTTTAACCTTCCCTCCCCCACACCCTGATTAACCTTCCCTCCCCCACACCCTGTTTGACCTTCCCCCCCCACACTGTTTAACCCCCTCCCCCCCCCACCCTGTTTGTCCCTTCCCCTCCCCACACTGCTTACCTCCACTCCCCCACACCCTGATTAACCTTTCCCCTCCCCCACACTTGCTTCATCCCTCTCCCCACACCCTGTTTAACCTTTCCCCTCCCCACACCCTGTTTGACCTTCCCTCCCCCACACTGTTTAACCTCCACTCCCCCACACCCTGATTAACCTTCCCTCCCCCACACCCCTGCTTTAACCTCTCACCTCCCCCACACTGTTGAATCCCACTCCCCACACCCTGTTTAACCTCTCCCCCCACACACCTGATTAACCTTCTCCTCCCCACACCCTGTTTGACCTTCCTCCCCCCACACTGTTTAACCTCCCCTTCCCTCCCCCACCCTGTTTAACCTCCCTAGCCCCACCCTTGACACCCCACCCACCCAGTTTAACTCCCTCCCATCACCCTATTTAACTCTCCCTCCCCCATACCCTGTTTAACCTCCCCTCTCCCACACCCTCAGCTGAACCTCCTCCCCACACCCTGTTAACCCTCCTCCCCACACCCTGTTTAACCTTCCCCCCCACCCTGTTTAACCTCCCTCCCCATACTCCTGTTAATCTCCCTCCCCCACCCTGTTTAACCTCCTCCCCACCTTGTTTAACCTCCTCCCCACACCCTGTTTAACCCTCCCCCCTCCCCACACCCTGTTTAACCTCCTCCTCCCCCATACCCTGTTTAACCTCCACTCCACACCCTGTTTAACCTCTCCCCTCCCCCCACACCCTGTTTAACCTCTCCCTCCCCCACACCCTGTTTAACCTTCCCCTCCCCCACCCCTGTTTAACCTCCCTCCCCACACCCTGTTTAACTCCCTCCCCCCACACCTGTTTAACTCCCTCCCCACACCCTGTTTAACCCCCCTCCCCCCACACCGTTTAACCCACCCCCACACCCTGTTTAACCTTCCTCCCCACACTGTTTAACCTCCACTCCCCACACCCTGTTTAACCTTCTCCCCCACACCCTGTTTAACCTTCCTCCCCCACTGTAATCCCTCCTCCCGACACCCTGTTTAACCTTCCCCCTCCCCACACCCCTGCTTCTAACTGTCCCTCCCCCCCCACCCAGTTTAACCTCCCTCCCCCACCCCTGTTTTAACCTTCCCTCCCCCACACCCTGTTTAACCCTTCCCCTCCCCCACACCCTTTATAACCTTCCTCCCCACACCCTGTTTAACCTTTCCCTCCCCACACACTGTTTAACCATCCCCCTCCCCACACTGTTTAACCTCCCCACACCCCTGTTTAACCATCCCTCCCCACACTGCTTAACCTCCCACACTG